GGTCCGAGATGGCTATGGCACTCCTGTCTTAGCGATCTCGGCCACCGAATCGGCACAAGGGTGTTGTTTTAAATGTTCAAATGTAAAACTTATCTTGTTATCTCTTAAAACTCCCTTGTTCTTGGTTAAAGAGCTGTTCAATATCAAAAGTAGTAATGGAGTCTACCTCTAATCTTTCTCTATATTGTGAAATCCATATCTATCAAATTATCCTCTAAAGGATTCTAAGAACAATGTTTGAAAAACCTAAATATGAAACTGTTTAAATAGGAAAAGACAACAGTTTTCCTTAAAATGTCAAAAGTGTACACTTTTTTATCGTGATACAAAACCTGGAAATACGAAGCACATGAATGACATATTTCAATTTCCTGTTGTTAAAGTAATTGTTAGATTTAAGTCAAACTGACACAGTCTTCCGAAGGGGTTTATGCCAGGATAGCTTCGTAGATGAGGAGCAATTTTTATTAAATCGGTTGAAAATTAGTAGTCGCAAATACAGGTTTCATCCGAAGCCCAGTGAGAGTCAGTCGCGTCGCGATATAATTGAGAAAAGTCGTCAAATTACATAAAGTCAGATGGTCAAGGACATTCCGGGAATATTTGGGAATTTATTCGGATGATAAACAAAAACGTAATAGTACCGTGAACATCAAATGGAAATGTGCCGGACTTGGAAGAACAAGCGAGAATAACATCTGAGAAGTTAGCAGTAAACTAACGAACATTATCAAAAAACCATACGGTACATTCATGTAATTCATTCAAAAAGTTAATTACTTTATCGTGAGCTCTCGAAAACTGTGAAAAAGTATTGCAATAAATGTTGAGTTTGATTTTTCAAAAGAGAAAAGGCTCATAATTCAGAGTAGTCAACCAATAACACTAGGGAACAAAAAATATTAAATTAAGTCTGGGTACGAATGCAAGATCGGAATGTGATGGAGATGATTTTGCAGCAGCGTCGGACGCAAGTATTTTTGTAACCGGCGTAGCACAGAAAAGCTTCTTTCTTTCGAGCACGATGCTCTTGGGATGGCCATAAGTAGACGAATAAAGTGCAAATACTTGGGATCAAGAACTATACACCACTCATTTTCTGCCATAAAATCTACGACCTCACGCAAATTCACCGGATTTCTCCCTTTTCTTTTGAGGGTGCTTAAGGCTACGGCCTTATCGCTATCTAGGACATACGCATTGAAATCGAAATTCGAACATTTTTTTTTCCACCAGGTTGATAGTGGTAATAAATGTGTTAAATTGGACAATTTCTCCCAATTTTTGTCAAAATTCCAGGTGGGTATTAAGCAAAAACAAGTTATTTAGACAAAATTTTGTATGTAAAAGCTTAAAGTTAGCATGCCAAAAAAAAAAACTATAAAAATTCAATATGACAGCTTTAGTTCGCGCAAGAGCCAGCCAAAAATATAGATTATACATGTCGTTGAAAGGAGGAAGGGGTGTGACCTGTACAGAGCCCCTCATGTGGACCGAGCGAGAGCTGTTTTGAGTGTGTCGCAAAGCTGACTCGGCACGCTCCCTGAACGACACCTAATCACCTCAGCTGTACCCATACAAATGAACACACTAGCGAGTGAAGATCCTGCGAATGCTTTCTGTTAATATGGATTTAAAGTATGTAATTTATAAGTAAGGAACTCCTAATAATATATTTTAGAAAAATATGATTATAAGTAAGAAAATAAACGTAATCAAATATTGAAGTGAAGGTAGTGTATATTCTTTACGTGTACTCAAAGGACTAAGAATTTTTATTGGGGTTGGTGTTTTATCTAGGTCTTCTTATTCGATTGTAAAGAGAGAGGATTTTTGCAATTCAAACTTCGATAACTTTGCTAGCCGATGGAATGAAAAAGCGACTGGTGACAATGTTTAATGATAAAACAACAAACGGCAGCGGGCCGCAACACAGACCCTCCATTATTTTACTCTTTTAGGTGAAACATAAAAACTGACGGTGATGGTTAGACGCATTTTCTTTTTTTTCGCCTTACTTCGTAACAAGAGAAAGTACTGTTATCGTGCGGCGCAAAACTACTGTTTTTGGCCAAAAATCTCTTATTGTCGGGGCCTGTGGATTAATTTCTCTAACACGTGTAGTGCGAATCCATATTTTGTGGGTCCTTATACCGAAGAAATCGTTTGACTGCAAAACGTCCGTCTCTCTATCATTACCAGTAGCACCTAAACCGCTTAGCCGATTTTTTCTAAGATTAATATTACTATATCGATTTAATGGAACTCGCATCCCTCTTGAGTTTGACACAGATATTTTGAGTTTGGAGGTAAATTTACAAGAAGCCTCAACATCTTCGAAATTTTCTCGAAGCCCCAAACTTTTTCATTTAACTTTGTCCTCGGATAGCATAAAAAAACGCTTAAAAGAATGGCGCAGGCCTTATTTTTGTTGAACTGAAGTTTTGAAGGTTGCAAGAGTTGACAATGATGCGAGAAAGTATGTGCTGTGAGCATCCCTGGTTTCCATTTATTTATGATTTGAAGACTTTTCCAGCACAAGATCTTCGCGCCACCGGAGGTTATCAACAATCCTGCACAGTGCGCCGCCTCCCTCAGCGCGACGTCAAGGACACGGAGAGACGCCGCGGCGCGGCTGGCCGCGGAGCCGGGGATTCGCTGGCAGCGCGGCGCGCGGCCGCTCGTCGCACCAGCGCCAGCCGCGCGCGCCAGTTGACGATCGCCCGCGCACCGTGCGCACGCGCCCTGGGCCTCCTCCCGCGCGCGAGCCGTGCTGGATTCGCTTCTCTCCGCTTCGCCTTCCCGGGCCTCGCCGAGCACTCGCACGCGTGCGCTGAATACGGCGGTCTGTGGAATTCATCGTTTTGGAACTTCGGTGCGTGTTTCGATTTTGCTGCTGGTGATTCGTAGGATGGGCTCGTTTCTGTGCCTCAGTTGCGAAACTCAGCGTGGGTGTGTGGGTGTGTGTTGAAGTGTTTCGTGAATATTGGGCACGATCGACGTGAACTTGATATAATAAAATAAACTTTGAGCTTGGGAAATTAGCTGTATCATACACAATTTGTGACAGTTTAATCCTAATTAGAAAATTTAAACACGATTTAATGCATCATTGTATTAAAGACATGTATTTAAAAATTGTGCCAAGCAATTTGTGCTGATGTTTAATACTTGCGCAGATTTAAAAATTCATACGTTTTCTTTCGAACGTGATGTAAATATCTGTATTACAATCTGAGAGATAAAAACGAAACTTACATATGAATGTTTACAAATCGTGTTTGGTATACAAAAACAACTGTCCTCATCGTTGCAGTACCTCGTTGATGTTGCGGTACTGGTGACACTTTGGCCATCGACAGAATTCCTTCTGTGATTTGAAATTCTCGAGCCGTTCGATGTGGCTACTACGTATGCCGTGGAGCCGTTGTGAACATGTGAGTTGAATAGTTTGTATTGTCGTGTATCGCGTGGGCGCTCGGATATCGGCGAGCGGTCGTGGAAGAACGCGAGGAGGGAACGTGCGTCGAAAAGAGTGCGAAGATGTACGCCAAACTCGTACGTTGAATATTGCAGGTCTGAATTGTCAGGTTAACAACCGGTAGCTCCTTGAATATAGACGTGGCAGGATGTTTGGAGAATAAGGTGTTATTACCCGCAGTCGTGGATCGTCAAGAAGGTTCAAAGGCCTTCTGACAATGAACTTCATGGGAGAATGGAATATCTGACCTGGAGCTCAGACAAAGTCGTTAGTCATAACGAGTTCCTGCTAATTACGTAGAAACTAGATTTCCTACAAGGTATAAACAGACTTAGTATACATACATGCGAGTTTATACAGAGACGCTGATAATCCAGTATTCAAATTTGTGAGTTGCTAGTATTTACTTTCGTTTAGAACTGAAGCTAATTATCAGGATGCAATAGCGAGAAGAAATGTTTTGTTCTTCCGTAAATCATGATTTTTATAAATATTTAAATGGTTTAAATTTTTGCGAACTCTCACGATAGTATGTCCACAGAACACGGATAATCAAAAAATACGAGTAGGATATGAAAATTATTAATGTAATAATTCTAAGCGTTTATTAACATGGGGACCCAAGGCATTTTATTTTCAGACATTATTTCGGGAATTCAATAGGACTCCGACAAAACGACAGTGTATTGATCTGAAAACTTCTATTTGAAAATATTTGCGTTTCTCCACTGGAGTTACGTAATGTCGGACCCAGTGACCACAGAAGCACTAGGACCTGGAGTCGCCAGGCTGTGACCATTGCTGTTTTTAATAACTTGTTTCATTGTTTTGTTTTCTAAACGTTGTGGCCTAGTTACATTCTTTGTGCTACTACACAGAAGAAATGTGTCAAAACTCAAAACGAAGTAATGTAAAGTAATGTAATATGTATTATAATGACTTTTAGTATTATATTACGAAGAATGTGTCAGTATTTAATAATAGATTTTCAGTTATAGGCAGACAGCAGTTGATTCTTTTGGGTTATTTGTTTCAGTTCTAAGCCATGAGCACGATGAGAGCATTGATACGGCCTTAAACAGTGAAATTCTTTGGCCAAATCTGTACCGCCGAGGAACCGCCACGTCTGTTGCGTGCTATGTGAAACCCCACAATCGTTTCCTGTTGAGATGAGAGAACGTTGGAAAACGAGCTTCAGCGTTCTAGAAACGACTTTCCTTGTATTCCAACTCTGATATGCATCAGTATAAGAACCAGTACGGTTCTCCAGTCTGTGTGCTGTAAAAAATACGGAAATGGCATAGGCCGAGTGATGTGACACGTGACGTGACATACGAAGTAACATTTTATAAGTGTGTGAAATGATTAGAATATCGGTGTTCCTGACTTGTGCTAATATTAGTTGCTGTCATGCTTTTGATCTCGTGGTTACGCAGGAGATGCGGCTTCTTGTCGAGCACCGTGCTGATCTGATGCGACGAGTGACGTGACGCGCAACGTGACAGTGAAACGCAGTGATATGGTGCGCGTGAACGTGATCGAAGTGAAGCCGGCGGCCGTCTGCCTGAACAACGCCACCGTGGGTGTCACCTTGAAGAATAGCAACGTTCTGAAGGGTGAGGCGGCGGCGCGGGCGGCGGCGGACGACGCGGGCCGCCTGCCTCAGCGACGCCACTCTCGACGCCTGGCGTCGACGCGGGGTCTCCGCCGCCCGGCGCCGCAGCCCCCCGGCGCTGTCAACGGCGTGCCTCACGGCGCCCCTTGCACCAACCCCCTGCCCCCCGTGGTCAACAGCGGGGGCTCCCCGCCCGCTCCGGTTCCCCGCACTCCCGCCCCCGCGCCGCCCGCCAAGCAGCTGGCGCCGCGCCCTACATGGCAGGTGAGCAGTATTACCAGAAGCACCGAGAATAATTTACGGAGGGACACGAGATTTGAGAACAAAGTAGGGCAAAAGCTCCTGCAGTGGCCAGAAATCATTTTCATTATCTCCAAATTCTGGGGCTGGGGTACTCGTTTCGTGAAGCGAAATGGGCTGTTAGAACCCTTGCGTGAAAATGGCCAATTTTTAATTTGCTCATTATTAATTTATTTACAATCTAAAATACCATTTTCAGAAATAGTCAAACAGCAATGGGAAAATTACAAAATATTGTTATTGGTTGTATACTTGACCAGGCGCAGATCCATTTGGAGGGAAATGAGGGAAATTTCACACTCTAATTTTTTTCAGTTACTATTAATTGTAATTTGTCACAAACATTTCAAGCAAACATATTTTCGGATAATCATTAAAACGAATGAAATCGTATCGCAGCATGAGAGTAGCCTTCGACATTTGACAAAATACGTAATGACTCATTCGATGAAAACCTTTTGAATTTCCTTCCCGAAATTTCTCTGGATCCGCCCCTGACTTGACTCAGTAAAGACCACTCGATATTCTTCCCCTAAACGTATTCGAAACGAAAAAGATCTGGATGCTAATGTTTTTGGAGCATTACGCTTAATACATGCTGAATCTGAGGTCAGCATGCGAGCCTACTCATACCATAAAAAAAGATAATCAAATCCATGGCCAAGATGGCATTTAAACTATTCTTAAAGCTGGAGTACACGCTCTAATCCCCTCGGGCATCCATTCTTGGCAATCAAATTTTAAACTGAGGACGGAGCTGTTACCCTTATCAGTGAAACTGAATTAATTCAAAGCAATTAACTGAGAGTTGCAATACCAGACAATCGTTAAAACAAATACACAATTGTAGTACAAATCGTAACAGAGTATCGTAACAAGCATTTAAATTACTCACACTCCTTCCTGAAGTCTGATTTCATTCAAACTGTCTCCCACCAAACCTTGACGTATGTACCCCACCGAAGCTAAAACAATTACAACAGAGCATTGTTAATGAATTACTCAGAAGCATCATTTCGAGAGCCAACGAAGCTTCCAGACGACGCGGGTGCCCAAGGGAGGGGAGCGGAAGGGGTGGGGTGGGGGAGGGGCCGAGAGGGGCGGCGTTGGGGCGTGTATCCGCTCTGGCCTTTCTAGATGAAAAGGAGAAGTGGGAAGGTTAAGGGACTCTCCACGCAACAAAGATGATTTATTGCACTTTTTTTAAGAACCAAGCGATGCTAATAAGGGTTGAATGCTTTTTGTAACCGTTGACCTTGGTCGCTTCCATGACAGAGACGTCGGCGATTTCTTGTAATGTACGAAACGTAACGTAATTAGCTTACACATAATTTTAGTTCGCGGTTTCTAGTAATCTATATTATTGTTGGTACGCCTACACATTTCCTGCAAAAGATAATAAAATGACAAAACTTTAGTTTCGTTTTATTGTGTATACGTACCATTTTTAACCACAAACTTGGTGATAACATGAACACTCATCAATGTAATAGATTGTTCAGTGTTCTGAAGACTGAAATGTTTCAGTGTTTTTTCCATCAACTTCCATTCTATTTGGTGCATTATTGATATTGTTAGTTTTTTCTGAATATTAAGTAGAGTATTAATTTAGTGAATCCCGAGTTTTGCGGTGTATAATTGTAATATATTTAAAAGCTTCTGCTCCTTACTGGTATTAGACAATTCATTAAAGTAAAGTGAATGTAAATGAACGTATAACCTTTGTGCTTTTAACCTTACCAAAACTTCGTTGTATTGTCCACATTTTTTTTCTTTCAAAAGATCTTGCGCCACTTCTATTTAAATCCTTCGTTGAAAGTGAAGGTGGTGTAATTTTTATGCATTCTTTCTTCTACTCGTCATTTGGTTCCGTTTCCGACTTCCGCTGACGTAAGCGATGAAGCGGGAGAGCGAGGACGGGGAGGAGGACGAGGACAAGGTCCTTAGCACCTCATTCTCCCCCTGCGCAACAGCCTCCGTCCTCGGAGGCAAATTTCTAAATTCTGATGTTTCATAAAGCGGTGTAATGTTTGCGTTATTAGCATCTGAGCAAACACCCGCTGTGGTGAGGAAATTAGACGAACTCCTATGCGATGTTTTGGACTGTATGCAATGATGTTCCTTCACAGAATTTCAAGTGTCAAAAGAGTTGCATGGCCATATTTATGCGAAATTACTATAAAATGGGGTAGGGGTTACAAATTTATTGATATAACAAACGTGTCTGAAATAATTTATTGAATTAGAATCTAGAATGCTTCTAGATCAATTTCAATTTCGTAATATGTAGGTCAATTTTTCTTTCCTTATTGAATTGGTGTTCATTTCATTCTGTAGGGTATGATAGGAGACCGTTATTTTTATAGTTTTATTGAATAGCGAGTGGGATGGTTTCTTAATGAAAGAAAACCAATTCTCTGAACCGAGTTGATAGTTATCCACTTTTTAAAACCCCTCTCATGTTTTGTAGAAAGTCTACAATGTGTGAAAAAAAAGAAAAGAGTTAGTAGAAGAGTGAATATCAGTGTCAACACCATGATGAAAAAGCATAGCGTAACACGTATTTGGCATCGGTAGTGTCCCCCTCCAATGTTTGGCCGTAAATTTGCAGTACATGTTTTGAGAGATGTATAGATTTTTTCATTTATGTGGGGACACTGCATCAAAGTGCGTGCTCTCTCGATGTGAGAAGTTCTGGATAGTCCGCGGCAGTGTCGCCGCCCTCCTAACGCCCCTGCTCTGCCGGTGAGTCACTCCGATTTCCGGCCGGCCGATTCCCCACGCCCCCTCCTTCCGCTGCGGCGTGGCTCTCCTGTGTTCCGCTCCCAGGGGGTGCGTGCTGCGCTTGTATCCCCCCCCCCCTAGTACTTCCGGGGAGTGGTCGCGATCATGACCTCAGTTCCCCTACACGTTTTGCATTTGCGAGCGAATGACTCAAACACTGGCGTTTTAGCGTAATGATTTAGCGTGATCTATGGTAACCCACATGCAGGAGTGAAATCTGCGGAGGTAGATGTTGTAATTAGAGGGTACGACAAGTGTTTGCTTACTTGGAAAGTTAGGTGTACTAGGTGTACTAAGGTGTTTCTCGCACCTAAAAGTAGTACTTTTACATATACAAGCAGTAGTAAGTTATACCGTTAGGCCGCCTTTGATAACATATCAAGTCTGTCACTTTGTAAAAACTCAAATGAAACTATACTTTACGCATATGAATACGGTAAATATGATTATGGTAAAATGTAAACGAAATCTGTCACAGATGTTACTAGAAGTTCATGGGAGGCCAAGTCCTATGTACTAAACCTTACACAGTAATCCAGGTGCAGATACCGCCTTCTATTGGGGAGTGGGGTCGTAATTTTTTTTTTGAGTAATACACATTTGTTTTAACATTTTATATTATTTTTGTACTGTAGATATAATGACATACAATATTATTGTTTAAATAATTACATAATTCGAACATAGATATTTTTTTAAATACATTTTGCCAAATAAAGGGACGGTAAACTAAAATCCTAGATCTACTAGGGGGAGGGCCATGACCCCCATGGCCTCCCCCTCAATCCATAAGTGCTGTAACCTGCATCTGTCCGTCACTCACGGTTAGACACCTTCCGGTTCGCCAATCGTGACAGAGATGTTATTCGACGTTCCTCGGTCTCTTTAATATTTATTTTTAATACGAACTTACAAAGCACAAATACATTTTAACATGATAATACCCATCGGAGGAGGCACCTAAGCTAGTAATACTGATTTTGAAACGGTACAGGTTAATAGTGGGACATTATTCTCTTATTATGTAACATTTCAGTTTTGTTTCAGTTAAGTTTGACTTCAGTTAACCAAAATAGATAAAAATCGTTATATTTGACTACTCACCTTGGTAAAGATGACAGACTGATGTTAGTAGTTTACAGAAAGCAATCAATGATTAAAAACGTTTATTCTATTAATATTTGTTGCGTTTATGACAACAATTTAAAACCGTTGAAAATAATACAATTGGAGAAAGGGATACAGCACATGTGCTATTCCAAGAATTACTACAGATTTAAGAACCTGGAATGACAAAAACAGGGCTTTTACTAATTTCGAATTTCAAATCTGTAAAGCGGCGGAAATAATTTCGTGAATAAAGAGTTTTCCTGGTACACATTATTTATGGAAACTGCTTATCAGATAAAGAATTTGATGATATTTTCGCGTCATCAGAGATAAAAATCTGCGCTAGATTTTAGTATCGATTGCGTTGGATAACATTTCTCTGTGCTTCCCTCTTCCGGGACTTTCTTTCCTTTCCTTTCCCTTGGAAGACATCCGGTCGTCTGCATGTCTTGTGCCGTCTGAAGATGAGCATGACTCGCGAAACTTGACCTGAACCAATTCACTTTTTTCCTTTCTCCGAGGTCACTGGTGCTTCACGTCCCGAGTGACTCTTGAAACACAGATAACAAGCTTTGATTTCTTATGCTTCAGGCATTCGTCGGGCATTTATTTATCGTAATCGACGTTTTTATTTACTCACCTGTACCTTCTATCAAAACTGACTTTCTTAACGGTGGGAGCATATTTTCATGCAATATAGATATTTACAATTACAAAACATGACATAGAAATAACATTCATCAGATGTCACTATCAAGAGATCATTGAAAAAAACGATATAAAATAAAAGTACATTTACAACACATTGCCGGATGACATTAAACAATTAAAATGAAATGGGTACCCAAATTTAATTTCGAAATAAAAGCATTTTTCTGCTGCACAACTTTTCTAAACAATTAGCCTATACTGACCATCCAAAAGAAAAATAATCACTAGTTTACATTTGTATTGTATAATTTTAAAAAATGCCTTAATTTGCATATAACAAGAAACGCCTTTCAGCTTCCTTACTTCGTTTACCGATGAAAATAGGTTTTTTAACTCTGAAGAGAAAATGTCTATTGTTTTAAAAAAGCGAGGTTAGCGACATTTGAAACTTGTTTATTTAACTATTTAAAACCAAAATTTATAGAGATTTTAGAGTTAAAGAAAACATATGCATTCTCCTCCACTCGTCACATAATTTTACTGTTATTTGACGAAAAAAATCGGTTAGGTAGCTCTTCTACTTGGTGTTGCCCGGGTTTTGCGTAAAGATGCTTCACACTAACACTAATAACTTGAGTACCGTGCGTTTCTCTGATATTCATTTTTCACAATCTATATGACAAGAATTGTATTTGTTCCCGCCGTGTTCGCTCTCTTTCGTCTAGTCTAGTGCATCCCCTCCCTCATACCTCATCCTGCGATCCTTCGGTCTGAGATCGCTAAGGGCCTTACCGGCAGTTTACATCACTAGTTTCATATTTTGATTTTAACCACGGCAAGCTACTGTAATTGTACTCCAAAGCAATTCTGTATTGTTTTAAAGAACATATTGCTGAAACACTTTGAATCGCATCTACACTGTGTTTGAATCTTGGTGGCTCAAAAATATTCCTGCCAGTTTTGGAACTAATCACTCCAGTGGAATTATTTTTTGTTATACATACCATTGTAAAAACATTCACTTTCATATAATAGTTCCGGATGTTGTATTGACATTACTGGTCTATTTAAAGAATTATTGCATTCAAATTTCATGCATTCAGGTGAAAGAAAATGGGGGTTTACGTAACAAGGGTGCGAAACGGGTGATTCACGCACGAGTCAGTTGTTCGAGAGTAACGAGAACGATAAAGGGACGAGTGCGGTTATCACCTTTCGGCTGTGGTGCGTTACTATTGTTTAACACGCCGTGAGGGAAACGCAATGCGTCATATAAAGGAATATAAATTAAATATCAATTAATTATAATTACCTTGTGTGTACAAAAGTAAATGGATTCCAATCAATGCTGTAACACTGTAAGTAAATAATAAACAAAGAGTTCGTAGAGACGAAAGACAAATGCGAATTATTACAGATATTTCGCGCACGATTCGCGATATTTCGCACACGGAAAACAAGCATAAGAAACCGCGTTTCGCGCACGGCGTGTTAAAAACTAATTTTTGCATTTCAAGGGATAAAATTCGAATACGCTGTACACCGAATACACTTTTCTTTAAATTGTTACAATATTCAAGTAACTATAGCAAATAAGCTGAGACTGACCTCTTGTTTTGTCATTATGAGAAACAATAATGAATTTCTAATATATAATTTATTATTATTAGCGTATGGACCACTACTAACAACGCAACAACTTTTTCTCTCCGAGGCCCAGTATTGTATTCTATTCTGGAGAGATCAACGAATGCAAATATGGGGATCAGCCTTTCGGCTGCATCGCTTGGTTAAGGCAGTGTTGTTAGCCTTTCATAGCTATTAGGAGAGGATAGGATGATATTATTATTATTATTATTATTATTATTATTATTATTACTATTGTTTTTGTTATAAGGTGGTGATTAGAGATGAAAGGACTAGGGCGATGGTAGGAGGTGTTAGGTGGGACAGTGGGAGATGGGAGGCGTTCGTTGGCTGGGCTTTTCGAACCATCCCAACATTCGTCTCGGAAACCACGAAAACCCTGGTCCGGATGACCGGTGCGGGGGTTCGAACCCGGACCTCCCGATTGCAAATCCAGCGCGCTACACACTGAGCGTAGTATACGAACTTTCGTATATATTCTAGCTTTCATGAAGCCCCGAATACGTATTTACGAAGTGTCCTGTTCAAAATCAGGAATCTTGTTCCTGGATGCTTGAAACGATAGGACGGTACGGACCAAACTACAGTGCGCCAGGAAAGTCTCTCCGCAGTGGCACTTCGGTAGTGAGAGTGCTTGCAACAGAACTAATGTTGGTAGCATGAGCCGCAGATGAAAACTTGAAAACAGAATTGCTTACTCACCACAATCATAATGCTGGAAATGCTATCTCCTTCAGTTCTTTCTCAGTGATATGGTTGCTACCAACTGATGCAATTTTTAATAATAGACTTTGTTTCTCGGTGTTGAGTCTTTCCTGACACACTGAATTATACATGCATATGTAGGGACTATTAGTGTTGTGCAGAACAGGTACCCCACAAACTTTTTCTTCCGTGTTATTACCATGGCTAGGAATTTAAAATAGTTAACGTTAACGTTTAGCACAGAGCTTAAATGAAGGTTAAATGAACAGCATCTTGTTCATTGTTTACTTATTAATTTATTTATTTCCTCTCCAGTCTACGTTCCGGTCCTACTAATAAGCAGTGTTGGTTTTCCTACTCCTTAATTCTGAATTATAATGTTGTATGAACCACTGGCGTTAACTGGTTCAAACGGTGCATAAATAACTATTCTTTTTACAATATTTTTTTACCATTTTCGCAGCCTATATGTCCCAACGGTTGTGATCGTGTTTTGTCCGCAGGTTGGCGCGCCGTCGCCGCCTCATCGGCCACCGTCGTCGGCGTCGCCGTCTCCCGCGCCGTCGGCGTCGCCGCTGCCGTCGCCCTCGCCGTCTCCGTCGCTGTCTGTGACGATGTCGCCCTCGCCGTCGCTGTCGCTGGCGACGCCGTCCCCCTCGCTGGCGTCGTCGTCGTCGGCGCCGCAGCCGTGCGGCTGGGTGCGCGTGTTCGTGGGCGGGGAGGCGGAGGGCGAGGCGTCGGCGGCGGCGGCGGGGCCGGGCGCGGGGCCGGGGGCCGCCGAGGAGAGAGGCACCCTCGTCTACCTCACCGCCACCTCCACCGTGCGCGACGTCTGCCGCGACTTGTTGCTCTCCGACGACCTCACGCTCTGGGTGCAGGTGAGTCAATGGATTTCTTTTTTAATTTTGTGTGTTCAATTACAAATTTTGTATTGGGTTTACGAGGGGTGTTCATAAAGGTTGTACCGTTGGGTACAAAAAAACACGATAGAAATATCAGCTTTTATAGATTTATTAATCCTTTTCAACATAAGATTCCTGCACGTTTACATATTTTTCCCAGCGAAGAATAACTTGTCTTTAGCCATTGCTCTAAAAGTCCTGCGTTCCTCTCTTTAAACAGTTTTCAACTGCAGCAATGGCACTCAATGGCAAAACGTGGCCGACACAGTGATTCTTTCAATTTTCTAAACAATAAAAAAATAAAAATCACTGGTGCTAAATCTGGCGAATAAGGCTTATGTGGTAAAATTTCGTAGCGTAGTTGCAAACAATGAGTCATATGAATAAAAATGAGCACTTGCTCAGGAGTACTTGCTCCGGAGCAAAGTAAGTCTACTCCGCGGCACTGAGCAGAAGCTCCATTTCGTATGAATAAAAACTTCGTATGTCTCCGAAGAAATTACTCTTGTCTCTCGAGCATTTGCTCGTCGTGAACAAGTGATAGTGCAGGCTAAGAGTTTTAAAAATTGGTTTCTTGAGCATCAAAAAGGGTACATACGCTACGCGCATCGCGCACATTTGTGCGGAATAAAGAGCAATGTTTTATTGTCTCGTTCTTTAAATTCGAATATGAATAGCAGTAACGAAAAACAGGCGCCAGAGGCCCAGCTAGTTTTTGTCGAAATGCTAAGCGAATATAAAATTATTTTGGAAAAGAGCCAGCTTCCGGAGGTACACCGTGGTCAAAAGAAACATTACAAAGTTTGAAAAAACAGTACCCCGAAAAATTCCAAGTAGGAAAGAGCGATGGCCAATTAACATAGAAGATATGCAATATGAAAACGCGCCTGAAAGCGAACGCCGATAAAAATCGTACCAACCATAGGTTTTGAAAGAATTGATATATTATTCGTTTTAATTTTATGTGCACAAGTGATAGTCAATTAAAACTCGTCATTCAAACAGTCGTAACACACGATATTTGGGTAATCTTATACGAGAAAAGTACACAAGAAGTCCTTTTCATTTTAAGAAATATATTTTGAGAAATATTTAATTTTTCTACATCAGATCCATAAAAAGATCGATAAAATACGTAGCAAAATTCTTGATTTTAACAATGGGATTATTTTCGTTATATGCATTCCAAAGGTTAATGGGTATCTCAGGAACCAATGTCTTAAGCAATCTTCAAGAAGGAACTAAACTTCGGACATCATTAACGGATGGTGAAACCGGCACATTGAAACGTTTCGCGACTCGCTGGCGGTTCCTGATTGGTTCTATGTTGTGAGAGAGAGGTGAGCGGGCGCGGAGGGAGCGCTGAGCGGCGAGTTAAGGTGAAATTCCCCCCCCGTCCTCTACATTTCACTCAATCGATATATATAGAAAAGCATACTAAATTGTGTTATTACCGGGTGTTGCTTACTGCTCGTCCGCAAGGGCCGCTTGACATGGCTGTGTTGTGAGACTGAGCCTCGGACACTTGACTCTCGTTCTACACGGCGAATATGCGCGTCGCACGCACACATCGTATTGGTCGTGTGGCTCCAGTAGTTAAATACTCATTTTTCTGTGTATCGAAAATCATTTTTCTTGTGACACCACAATGTTATCTGTACGCAATTGTTACGGGCTTGGTTTTCGTGTCAGTGGTCATTTATATCGTAATGACGGAATCTCACATTTTTGACTTACACTGTGTACAGGTCTCAATCCCGTTAACCTCTGAGTCTTATTGGTGAAGTTTAAACAATTGAATAGGACTCATCCATTTAGAGTACCTCAGAGTTTTGAAAGAAAGAACGTGGAAGCGGATTGAAAACCATTTAATAAATTCAGAAAAAATATCGTTATGCTTCTCGTTTTTTTGTACTATTCGATAGTTTGAGGACGTGTTAGGAAACGTATCTTTTTCCGATAAAAATACAAACTCGTGAGCTACACATAGAGATTGAATTTATCAGAATAATGTATAGTTACTTACTTTGAGAATTTCACAAAGTGTTGCTAATGTAAACCAACAACATCCCTTAAATCAATTGCTTTTAATTGTAACTATGTAAAAGGAAGGAAGGATTTAACACTAATAACTAGTCAGATTTGGAAGGTCCCACTTTTCAGCTTGTTCCTAAATTTTCCTTAAAAAATTCCATTAAAATAAATAAAAAATAATAGTTATTGGTAAAAGCAATTTTAGCATTTTCGTTGTAGCAGTTAAGTAGCGTCATTTATTCACAGGGCGAGGTCGGAAAGTTTTAGGAAGGCAGACGCTCTTTCCCCGAAGCGAGTCGTTTCGACGTCGTCTGACGTATTCGTTTTTTCTATCCAAGAGCGAGTGGCGGTGTGGGGTGTTCTCGTGATGACACGGCCGCACTACATTAGGAAACTGGTCTGTAAAACAGTTCGTTAAATTTCTAACGAGCGATGCGGATGAATCTACAGTATCGCAATTTTTCTAGTGTTTCTTTGGTATAAGTTACAGTTGTACTGAGAACTGGAGGGAGTCTATACGGGACAAGAAGTTACAAGTTTTTTTTTTTTGCGTAATCAACAAAATGGAGATCTTTGAGGACGTCTATATTTTTGAAATGGTAGAGAATGCGATAAGAAATTACGAAGGAAAGATGGCGCTCCGTATCTCGATTGTTAAGGTATCCAGATTCGCTAGTATTGATGCGATAAACAGGATTGGGAATAACAACTTTGAGAGAGTGTGTTTCAAAGTTTTCGGCTATGTGGGTTTCCATTCTGTCAGAATATTATAAAATCAATAATTGGGATGTAATTTTTCTATTATCAGGAGGAGAAAAAATGTTTCTAATTTTCAAACTTGCTAATCATCACTTTTCGTTGGTACATCATCTATCATTCAAATATATATATAGTAAAGGGTAGGGATTCTGGAGTCAAAGAAAACGCTTGGCATTTTACATTTCTTTTTCATAAATATAAAAAGCCCTATCGCGTTTGACGGTGGTTCTAGCATTCGTTGGTGCCCCGAAGGCGATCCTGGCTCGGACAAAAATGCAGCTGTTCTTTTATAATAAAACTTTTTAAAGTTTTCTATTGCTGTTGACGAAAAGAAAATTTAAGGGGCATGCAAGTATCAAGGTTCGGCGCTGGGAACTACGCAAGTGCTCGTCCATGTGTCTCTAACACTGGGAGTGAAAGATAAATACCGAAAAGGCTACCGAGTCGGGAAAACCAAAGACACGGGCCAATACAGATAATGGAATTAAATAAATACTAAAATATATACTATACATCAATAATAAGATTTATCACAACCGTTATTTAAATGAAGAAGATAGCCCTTGGTAGTAGTAAAAAACAGAACAATATAAAGATTGTCGGTTATCAGATATAGTATATCGTTGTTTCAAGACTAGTGCATGGAATATAAATCTTGTGTTCTCCCAACGCTTAGATCCAGCTCATGTCTGTAAAACGCTCAATATACATCCAAACTAACTGGTCCATAATCGACAGACCAGTAGCGCGGCTGACGATCTCACTCGAATTGGCGTTTCTAGTGGTGTTGGAGATCGCTTAGTAGCACTACGTGTAATAGATTCGAATATGAGGGTGTCCACAATATTGCCACGTAAGGGACTGTCTGTACAGTATCAGGTCTCTCTACATTGGTGTACAGTGCATATATTCCTTAATATTGTGGCTTCCTTCTATTGTTTAGTGCATGTTGGGCAAAAATAATTATAATAAAAAAGGTAAACTAATCTGCAAATACAATAAACAAATAAAGAATTATAATTCATATTTTAAATATTTAGTTTATGACACATCATTATTGATATCTCTCTGGTTTACGCGTAATTACGTCCCGATAAAATAGCATAGAAGCGTACTTTGAGGGACACATTGCATTATCTATAGGCACTGCTCTTCTGTGGCATACTAATTGTAGACTCTGCTTCTTCCGTGATCACGAGTTATATCGTAGATTTGAAATGGAAGGCACAGCTGAGTCACATAGCAAAACTGCACACGGGATGTGGGAGTGGATAGGCATTTAATATTCCGGTGATAATGCGACAGTCGAAAGAAACTCGCATTCTGAGAGAGTCAAAATCCAGTTAAGCAGATGGTTTGTGTCACACGTCGCTTAGTGCAATCCCAATACCGCAGACTCTAAGAAGTACGGAGCTGTGTGTGCTATGAGAAAGCACTGCGACAAGAACATAGTTCTTATGATGCATCGCAATCACGAGCTATTCATTCCTCCGAAACTCGTGAGTGAAGACACAAAGTTGGTTAGGGAATAGGGCTCCTCTACTTTTTTTGAAGGATTATATGTTCGCTGAACGCGGGAATGCTCGGTGTGGGCAGGTAAATTCGGGTAAAAGACATGGAGCTACACTCCACTCGGTTAGGTCAATGAGTGTTTCCTTTTATCACAGTCGTGGTAAATAGCGAAAGGATAGATAGGCTTTGGCCAATGCACGCACGCTGTACGCCGCCCCTGTGACCCTCTGTATAGCCGTTGATATGAAACCTTTCAGATTCCCCGTTTAAGGGAGCAATATGCTCCTCTAACATAGACGCGACTCTCAAAGAAGAATGGGGACAGAGTATTGGTTCCCTTTGGGTTGTAAGATGTTACCGGAGTGACCAGCGCAGGCTGAGTTAGCCCCATGCAACTTATGTCGGACTAGTTCCGTGGCTTCGCTGCGTGGCTCTCTATACACGTTCAATGCGTGGGCACGAACGAGCGTCCGGACCCTTGGCCGCACCTTGGCCCTAGGATCACCCCCTGCGGCTGGAGCGGACGTGCCACGGAATGTCCGAATGAAAGGGAGGTGCGACGCGTCACCTGCGAGGCGCGACGGCTACCAAATTCGGTAGCCCGTGTATTCTCAGTGAGAGTCGATCGTCGCCAGGTCACGCGAGTTAAGAGCATAGGTGTGGCCAGAGCTGTCCTCTTACCTGAGCGCTCGAGGTTGACATGACCGTGATGGTCGAAGCGGCGCAGACTGTGAATGAAAGACAGCAAAATCGTACAGTGCGGAGTAATTCTTCGTTGAGGTGATAATTACCACATATTTACTCTCACTGCATTGTCAGCGGGAACAATCGCTCATGGTATGTATTACGCAGAGCATATTTTTTAATCAGAGTAGTAAATGAGGAGTGTCTGTTTCGCCACAGGGCCGAAAACCTGTTTACATATGAGCATAAGTATTTCTTTATAGTTATACAGGTTATTTAGGTGGGCCACGCTGGAGCTATTGGTTCTTACTTGAGTAGGTGTATTTTTTTTCGGTTGGTGTGTTTGGCATCTCGAGAGATTTTAACTTTTGGGTATTGCTCTAATCTTTTCAATGTAGAACATAAACTGGTGCTACACAAACTCCGGGACAGGTGCTCATAGGTTGCTTACTAATTATCAAATTTAGTCTTTCTTCCGTTCGCTAGAGAATATATTTACGGATCCACAAAATACACGATATGAGGTGCGTAGTGGTACGGACACATGGGTAGTTTATATCTATTCTGCGTTATATTTTGAAAATAATTCTTCAGGAATTTATGTGAGAACGAAGACAGCATATTAAACTCTATCGCTTTCTATTTATTACGAGAGACAACTTACAAAAGACGTCGCACACAGAAGAATTCACACACGGATGACCGTTCATTGCAGCACTCTTCGTTTGGAATTAAGGCATACTCGCCTAATTTTTGTCTCACCTACACCACTCTTCGACGGCAGCATAACATCATGTCTTGAAGAAGCACTTAAAGAATTGAACAAGCACAAGGAATCACTAATTGGTCGCAGCTTGAGCGGACGATAGGATGGTCTTTCTATTGCGGTGAGCGGCAGGAGAGGTTGTTAATCCAACTAGATAGTCATCGTGGAGCATTCTGTTCTCGCGCTAGCGCTGGCCGGACAGCTAGTAACTACTGTCTGTAGCTCTGGAGGAAGCGGCTCCCTGGCAGCAGAGGCGGGCGCTGGGCAAGGAGGGCGAGGGCTGTAGGACAGCTCGCTGCGCAATTTCTGTATTAATTCTCTCATCCCGCATGGACTTAAAT